TCAAGTGTATATTGCATTTTTTTTTTATAGAACACCATATTTCACAGTTCACGCGTCGTAGTATCAAAATCTCGTGCTCGCGAGACTCCCACCTCAAGGTTTTGACACTGAGGCTATTATAGAAGTTTCAAAAACGGATTAGCAACTTCCCAGAGACTGCTGGATGCAACATGTCCTCGAAGAAGGCAAATATAACATACGGATCGAAGCGTTGTGATAAAAACAACAAAGAAGAAGATACTGTTGCGAATAATTTGGTGTATAAGGAAAATAATTCATGTCAGACCTTCAGACAACACTTAAATTCACGGTTGGGTTTTATTTTCTGGAATCTTCGTATTTAAAATGTTCATTTACATAATTATTTTTCAATACCATCTTTTATCATCAGATCACCAATATGAAATTATACGCTATGATATCACATATCATGTCAATAGTTATATATCATTATTTCATAATTCCTATAATATATATCTTATCATGATGACAATAATATAGATATCATCATAAGAATAATATCTTATATAAGGACATCACGAAGATATTAATAATATATCATATGATGTCACTAATATCATAGAGTAAGGTATCATTATGTCAGTATTATGACGTATCAATATTATAGTAATAAAATCAGTAACATAATAACGTCTTTTTATTATTTATTATTATTTCAAAGTCATTTTTTATTATAAATATTTGTTTGGTTGCCCTAATTCGTAGCCAATCTTTATGTCCGCTTCATTTTATATGAATTTCAAGTTCTAAAAAAGATGATTCTTTCAAGCGAACAATTTTAAAAACTTTTTTCTATTCTTAACCGTGATTTGCTGATAAATCTCCCGATTTATATGACACACATTCAGGAAGCATGCAAAAGGTCAGTCTTTTTCATATACAAGACATTTTCTGCCTATGACAGATTTTTTTCTTAGTTACTGTTTGTTTAAGGTTATTTGGTCCATGTTTTAAAAATGATTTTTCTTTCATATATACAACCCCTGTCCCATAAAACTGGCTGCATTTTTATACATATTTCATACACTAAATGTACCATCTATTATGGGACAAAGATAGTATTATATTCCATGTCATTGCTGTTAAAATAAAGTCTTTCCTTTATTGTATGCGTTATAATAGACACATTTACCAAGTTGCCTTTATTAAGCCGCTTCAGGGTATTATTGGTATTATTATTAACGCCCAATTTCCAGAGCATGCGCAGTAGCAAAATTGTTTCGTTTCGAAAATAGTAAAAAGTGCCAGAGCTTCACAGATTGTTCAAAGATTGAAGCTTTATGCCAAAATTCTCTGAAAGTATCGCCATTTTGTATTTCTTTTTTTATCCGATGCTTAAGAAATGTTCGTAGTTCCTACATTGGAAAGCATTATAAATTCTGAAAGGAAAAATAGGAATTCTTTTTTTTTTTTTTTTTTTTCACAATTATGTATTTTATTTTAGCTTTTTCGGGGACACTATTTCTTTATGTTTTTTCGGGTAGATAATTTATTGCAACTCTTCCTGATGACGAATTTCAGGATACTGCGATCACCTGCAAAGGTAGCCAAAAAATAATTACTTTCCGAATTTCATAGTGTTCCCATTAGAAACGTACAATACGCCCAAGAACATGATCTGCCTGTCAGAAATTTTGATCAGCTATTCGTGACGTCACAGGAAAAATTCCAGAATTCCAAGAAAATTTAAAGATAAGAATTGGCAGTATAAAATTAGTTTTTTAAAAAATGCCGAGCGATTGTTTCTGCAATTTTTTCAATTTAAAAAGTGTCTAATCTTTTAAAATGTCACTTGAATCGATAGTTAGAAAATGTATCCAAACACTTGTAAATTTTTTTTTCCAGTGATAGATATTTTTTGTCGATTATTAAATCTGCCAGTGATTATTAAAACTTAAGAATATTATCGGGAAGTTCTTTCGCGAAAATCCCAAGTTCAAATTCGTTGTATACAGTTCTTCAGTGGAAAATATCCTCCTGTGTAGTTTTCTTTCTTTTTTAATTTATATATATATATATATATATATATATATATATAGTTTATGAAAAACTGGGTAATCCGTATGGTTAAGCCTAAGGAGGATAAAATCCAGAGAGCTCAATGTAAATCCAGAGCAAATAATTTAAATAAAAACAGACCACTTTAAGGTTCCATGTAATAAATTATTTCACCACAGCCCTTTTAAAGGACTGCGGATCATCAGACTTTACTTCCAAACAAACAAAAAAAAAAAAATGAAAATTATTTTTGTTTGAAAGTAAAGTCTGATGATCCGCAGTCCTTAAAAGGGCTAAATAATTTATTACATGGAACCTTAAAGTGGTCTGTTTTATTTAAATTAATATATATATATATATATATATATATATATATATATATATATATATATATAGGTTCCACATTCTTCTGAACATTTTAAACAAGTCGGAAAGGTGGCGGGAAGCTTTGCGCAGGTTCGATCGCTGCTGGTGGTTTTGTAGTAGCAACCGCCACAAAATGTCGGATAACTTGACGCCAACGTGTAGGGATTTCCTGCACTGCCATAACCAAGGGCTCTGAAAGAGAAGAAAATATACAATGTAATTACAATCAAAAGTACATCGTACACATAAATGCATTATGATATCAAAATAGGTTCTGCAGTCAATTTCATACCAGATTATCAAGAAAGACAGGTTGACCTGAAACGACACCAGACTAAGTGGGGCGAAGATCCGTTATTCTCCCGTTGTTCACCTGCGTGTTTCACTGCGCGTGATATGAGCGTACATGAGAAACAAACCGTTTGACAGATTGATATATAAAGAAACACTTCAGAGGGAAGTTGGGCAGTCTCTCAGATATCGCAGACAAGAATGTAAGGTCCCACGTTTCGGACATTGGCTCCGGGGTAGGTGGGGTTTTCACAACAGACCGGCTGAGACTAACAGACGAAGTATTGGTAACGTTAAATAATGAAAGATTCAAGTCTCGTGTTAGTCATTTCGTCCGTACGTGTTTGCAGTAAGCGGCACAATTACTTCGTTACATAAATATATACACGCTTCAAATATACATACAAATATATACATTTCTAAGTGAAGTTATTAGTTCGGTGTTAATATAATGTTATTAAAATTGTTAATGTTGAATTTACTTTTAGGTGTGGGGGGCATTATAAGTGTTAGGCTGATGATGTATAAGCCGATATACGCGGGATTACTCTGTGTGGTTACTCTGTTAAAACAGCACTTACAGCCTGGAGATCCGTTTCAGTGGAAATCGATTAGCCAGTAAGCCGATGTATAGGTTTCTTGAAAATAAATATTATTACTCTGTACTTCTAGAAAATAAACACATCAATTCGTTTGGATATACCTCTTCAAATGGGTGAACGTTTGTTAATTTTTTCATCGTTTTTTATGAGAAAAACAGCACTTCCAGCCTGAAGATCCGTTTCAGAGAAAATCGATTATCCGATAAGACTCTATGTCAGTGGTGAACCTGCGGGTTTCACTGCGCGTGATATGAGCGTACATGAGAAAGAAACCATTTGAAAGATGGATATATAAAGAAACGCTTCAGAGGGAAGTTGGGCAGTCTCTCAGATATCGCAGACAAGAATGTAAGGTCCCACGTTAGTTTCTTAAAATTAAATATAATTGCTTTTTGCTTTTCTTAAAATTAAATATAATTGCTTTGTGCTTGTGAACATTAAGCATTTATGTGCGTTTATTTCTCGCATGCTGTAAAAATTTATTGTTGATTAAGATTGCCGTTTGCTATAGTGGAGCACTTTTTTGTTAAAAATATACGCGAAACTTGGGTATACCGATATAGTTGGTACCTCAGCACATAAAGGAACATTGTTTAATTATTCTCTTGCTTTCTGTTGTTGTTTTTTTTCTTGCTACCACTTCTTTCTTTCTTTACTTCCTAAAAGACAAAAGGAATATAACGACATTGAAACGTTTACCATTTTTACAATCATAGCCTTAACACATTTATATTTTTGGATATAACTCTTGAAATGGTTGAATGTTTGATCATTTTCTATTTTTTCCCATGAGTAAAAGAAAAACAGCCAGAATTTTTTTTCGATAAAAATCGATTAGCCCGTAAGCCGCTGTATAAGTTTCATTCAATTTTTATATGTATAACGTTTTAAGTTTCCTTTATAAGCGAAACGACGTTATAAGGAGGCTTAATTTTTTAACAACTTAAAATGCCAAAGTACAAAATTACAGGACAATCCCCCACAACAAAAAACGAACAAGCAAAAAAGCAAAGATCGCATTGCTTGTTCGTCTATCGAATTTTCACTCTTAAATTTAAATCTTACGGTATCCTCTCAGGGTTTTATTAACCTTTTTTTCTCAGTCGGTTTCAGAACAGGTATTTCTTTTGAATCATTTCACCTCCAAGCAAGATAATAAAGCCACTAAGAAGTTACTGAGTGTGAAAGAATATGAGAAAATAAAACATTACGGAAAGAGAACAATAAAAGAACAGGAATTAACAAGACAGAAAATGACAATTGACACTGGATTTAAGTTTTTGAAGATCGAAGTTGACTGGAAAGCAAGAAGTCGGAAGAGATTTCCACAATCGAGAAGTGCAAAAAAAAAACAAAACAAAAAAACATTAGCATAGAAATTACGATTATATCCAGAAATTTAAACTGTAAAATGATGATACCTGGCTGTCAATGTAGGAAAGCGTTTAAATTTGTGAAGTCTATGTTCCAAAGAGGAAACACATCAGAATAATTACCAATGAAAAAATATATAGAAAAATTACAGGGAAGGTACTTTACGACGGGAGGAAGGGGAAGTGGCTGAAGTCGAGATGCCAGATCAAGACCACTAAGCTTGCAGGTTCTTCTTGGTATTTTCTCAGATCAGATGTGAGAGCAATATTCAACGCATTGACGAATGGTAGACTGATAAATGTGTAAGATAGATTTTGGCGGGAAAAAATATACAGTTAACTAAAATCTTCAGTGAATCAACACATGTTTTAGAGTAATTTTCCGAAAGAAAGATGAAAGTAAAATAGAGAGGGAGAAAGAAAAAGTCGAGAAGAGAGGGGAAGAACAAAAGAAAAAGTAAGCGGGGGAAGGGAAAATGTAAAAGTGAGAAAGAGAAAAAGAAAACACAAAAGAGAGAGGGAGAAAGCGAAAGTGCAAAAGAAAGAGGGGGAAGAGAGAAAGCGTAAAAGAGAGGGAAAAAGTGAAAGTACAAAAGAGAGAGAAAGAGAAAGTGTAAAAGAGAGAGAGAGAAAGAGAAAACGCAAAAGTAAGATGAGGAGGAGAAAACCCAAAAGTGAGAAGGAGAAGGAGAAACCGCAAAAGAGAGAGGGAGAATGCGAAAGCGTAAAAAATAGAGGGAGAAGGAAAACGTAGAAGAGAGAGATAGAAAGGGAAAGTGCAAAGGAGAGAGGTAGAAGAGATAGAAGAGAGAAAACGTATAAGAAAGGGAAGAAGGCGGTATGTGCAAAGGGGAGAGGGAGAACTAGAAAAGGCAGAAGAGGGAGAAAGAAGAAGAGAAAAGGCAAAAGAGAAGAAGAAGAAGGAGAAGGAGATTAATAAAGATATTAATGATGCAAAAAGAAAGAGTAAAAGAAGTGAAGCGGTAAAGAAATAAGAAAGGGTCAAAAGAAGAAGAGGGAGTAGGTAAGAAAGATGGACAAAAGAAAAAGGAACCAGAAGAGAAGTGGATCTAGAGGAAAAAGTAGAAGAATGCTGAATAGAGATGGGGTCGAAAAAAATGGAGAGAAGTAAAGGAAAGTAACAGAGAAAGAAAGGAAAGGAGAATATGGGAGAGAAGGAGAGTAAGGATAAAAAGCTAAAATAGGGAGTAAATTAAGCAAATTGAATAAAAACAGAAAACAAAATATTCTAAGGAAGAAGTTGTAAATAAAAGGAAATTAAAACATAAAAAAAAGGTTTAAAAGTGACATATTTCGCTGCTTATGACGCATTAGACGCCCCCCCCCCGCCAAAAAAAATTTTTGAAGAAATCGGAAAAAAAAAGTTTTTCATTGTACTTCACAGCCCTTCCTACTATCCCCTAATTTATTCATTGAATAGCATCTTTCAGTCTGAAAATTTGACTAGTCATGACCAATTCATCACAGACTGAGAAAAAAGTACCAATAAATTACAAGAAGATAGAATGGCATGGTCATCAGTAAAAGGATGAGCCCGAAATGCGATTTGCATGTCGGGAGCACTAAAATCAAGCAGGTGCGTAAGTTTATATATCTGGGAGGCTTTTTCACGGTAGGTGCGATTTGAGATCCGAAGACGGATTGGTGGGGGGGGGGGGTCAAGGATGCATTTCAAAAGCTGGACAGAGTATTGCGAAACAGGAGGATTTCTTCGGTGCTAAAGAAAAGAATACTGAACTGTTACATGACATCTATCCCCCTATACGGCAGCGAATGTTGGACGATTTCCTCAAAGATGAAGAAGAGACCCGAGGGAGCGGAGATGTCGTTCTACAGAAGGATGCTAAGGATACCATGGAGCGAGCGTGTGAGCAACGATGAGGTCTTAGAGAGGATACAAACAAGCAGGAAACTTATACTTGGCATAAGGAAGAGGCAAATGAAATTTCTGGGACACGTAATGAGAAAGAAGGGTCTGGAGAATCTGATACTCACAGGTTGAATAGAGGGGGAAAAAGAGACAAGGGAAAGCAATGCATGATATAACTGGCGGGCTTGAGGAACTGGATGGCAGAATGTGGTCTGAGGGAGTTGGCAGAGCCATAAGGGATAGGGGGAAGTGGAGAGCAATAATCGCCTACGTCCTGAAAGGACACGGCACATAAAAAGAAAAAGATTTAGAATGTAATAATTCGAAAAGAAGTTAACTCCTGTTACTGATAGGACGCGGTATGGTTTTGGAGATGTTTTATATGAAAAAAAATGGCGTCTCATAAACAGAAAAATACGAGAAAAAAAACAAAAAAAAACGGAAAGACTAAAAAAAAAAGAAATTTTGAAGAAAACTAAGTAAATGAAAAAAGAATAACAAAATTCCTAAAATCTATTCCATAGCATAAGACACAAAATGACTTGTATTTATCATTCACGCAGCCTGATATGCCCTATTTACTAATGAAATATCTCGTTGTTATAGCAACAAGAGAAATTATTCGACGCCAAACTTTCGCTACCATAACATAGGAATATACTATTTGTAAATTGTGAGATCAGGCTGCTAATACAATGCTTTTTATTTCTTTTGCTTCATCTTAGATTTCGTTGGATACTTTTTTTTAAAAATCTTTTAGAAAGGTCAATTTTTGTTACATTCGGCAATAGAGTTTACTGTATAGATAAAAACTATATTTTTCATTTTTATTTATTATAACCAATTAATTTTAAAATTACTTAAAATTAGTCAATTCTTTTTTTTTTAAACTGTACCTGTCGAGTTAGCTTTCTTTGTATATTTTTTATTTTTAATGATTTAAAACGCAGAATTCTTTCTTACATTATGCAATAAATTGATTTAATATATAAAAATCATTGATTACATATGCATAAAATATAAGCAATGCACTTGCAAAATTATGTAGAAATAGTTTAATTGTATATGCAAAATCCTTGATAACTCATACTGATGGTAAGAGCAATGCACTTGCAAAATTACTTAAATATTATCGTCAATTACTGACAATATAGATTCGTTGTATGTTTCTTTGGATATTTTTACTTTTAATGATTTAAAAAGGAGACTTCTTGATTACATGTAGAAATAGCTTCAATTGTATATGCAAAATCCTTGATAACTCATGCTGAATATATAAGCAATGCACTTGCAAAATTACTTAAATATTAAAGTCATTTTTTGAGTGTACAAGTAAACTAATAGAGGAATAAAAGATCCATATGAATGGGAAGGAAGAGGAGAAACAAAGAAAGAAAATTGGGCAAATATATATTTTAAAAAATCTGAAAAGGAGGAAAAGAAGTAATAAATAGAGAGACGGAAATAAGAAATAGGAAAACGAAACAAGCGGAAGAGGTTAAATGCAAACAACGGAAAGGGGAACGGAAAAAAGAAGAGAAAGAATAAAAGCAACATACGAAAGTTGAAAGGAAAAAAGAAGAAGAGAAAAGAATCAATGAAAAATAGTGACAAAAAAGAAAATAAATAAAATAAAAAAAACAAGTGATAGGAAAATTTAACAGCAAGTAAAGAAAGAAAGAAAGAAAGAAAGAAAGAAAGAAAGAAAGAAAGAAAGAAAGAAAGAAAAGAAAAACTGGAAAAGAAAGAAAGGAAATTTTGAATGAAAAGAAAGTAAGGAAGAAAGGAAACGGGGATAGCTGGAATAGAAAGGAAAAAAGAATAAAATGCAAAACGAGAATAGAAAGGAAGAAAGAGGGGATAATTGAAATAGAAAGGAAGAAAGAGGGGATAATTGGAATAGAAAGAAAAAGTAAGTCAGGAAAGAAAGAAAGGCAAGTACAAAAAAAGGGAAAGAACAAAGGAGAAGTGAAGGAAGAAAAGAATAAATGACGGAAGGAAGGAGGGAAGAAAACAAAGGAAGGGAAGCAATAGAAAAGAAGGAAAAATGAAGGTAAGTAGGAAAAAAAGATAGAACGAACTTGAAAGAAAAAGAAAGACAAGAAAGGGGAGGAAAACAACAGAAAAAAGAAAAAGAAGAAAAAAAGAAAAAGGAAACGAGTGGAAAGAAGGAAAAAAGAAGAACGAAAAATGAAAGAAGGAAAGAAAATAGGAAGGAAGGAAGGAAGGAAGGAAGGAAGGAAGGAAGGAAGGAAGGAAGGAAGCAATAAGAAAGAGGGAATGGGAAAAAAAGGAAGGAAAAAGAATGAAGAAGAAGGAAAGAAGCAAAAAGTGAAGGCAGAAAGGAATTGGAGTACGAAGGAAAAAAATTAGGAAGGAAGAAAAAAGAAAAAGAAAAAAATGAAAGAAAAGTAAAGAAAAAGAAGTTAGAAGAGAAGGAAGAAAAATTAAGGAGGAAAAGAAAATTAAAAAGAAGGAAAGAAAAATAGATTGAAAGAAAGAAAGAAGAAAGGAGAAATGAAAAAGAGAAGGAATAGAAGATTGATGGAAAGCAAAGAAATAATAAGAAACGAAAAGGCGAAAAAAGAAAAAACAGAAGCAAGAAAGAAAAAGTGGAGAAGGAAAATTAAAAAGAAAAGAAGACAATAGAAGAAAGCCAAGAAAAAAAGGAAAAGGGACGAATAGAAGGAACGAAGGAAAAAGGAAGAACGGAAAGAAAAAAGAAAAGAAGAAATAACAAAAAAGGAGAGAAAAAGAAAAAAAAACAAGTACTAACGAGACAAAAACGGAAGGAAAATAGTCTGAAGAAAATAAAATGAGAAAGTGGGTTAGAATAAGATAAGGAAATGTAGACGTAAAAAAAGAAAAAAGAAAGAAGAAAAAAAAGAAAAGAATGGAAGTAACAGAAGAAGGAAGAAGAAATAAGAAAGTCGGAAAAATAAAACAAAAGAGAAGGAAGGAAAGAAGGAAAAGGAGACGGAAGGAAGGAAAATTAGATGGAGAGAAAGAAAAGTAACAGGAAAGAAACAAAATAAGAAAAGGAAGGAAGAAAAAAAGAAAAGAAAAGAAAGGAAGTAAAAACTGAAAGGAATGCAAACATTTTGAATGCTCCATTGGTTCTCTGATTATTATTTGCACTTAATTTCACATGACCAATTTTATTTGTTGTTAAAAGAAGATTGCCAGTAACATTTACAATTCCCGATAGCCATTTATTTTTTTTTTAAAAATCCTCTTTATATGAGTTTTGATACAAAGACTTTTATTAAAATGGCGGACGAACAGAATTTTTTTTCTAAGAAAAGTAGAATAAAATAATGAAAAATTGAAAAAACTTATAAATTAGACGAAAAATATCTTAATTGAAGAAAGCAGTAGAAGGAATAGAAAAAGTAAAAAAAAAAAAAAAATAAGCAAAAAGAAAGAAGGTATGAAGAAAGAAAAAAAGAAAAATGACATAGAAAATTGAAAGAATAGCAAATGAATAAATAAACTGAAAAAAATGAAACATCGCAAAATTATCTAACATCTGCGAAAAAGGCAGATATCATTCATGTACATAAAATCCTGAAAAATAAATGTTTCATTGAACGTAACAGACACAAGGCAACATTTAGTTATTAAGTTTTTCTAATGTTGTTACAGTTCCCCTTTTGGGGGTGCTAAATGATGGCAGAAGCTGTCCGTAATGTTTGTTGTCCGAAAGCCCTTTCGGCCAATTCATTAGCCATTTTCAATTGGTTCGATGTTAATATGTTTTCAATGTTTGCGTTCTAAGGTGTGTTTTATGGAAGTAAATTAAAAAGAAGCTAAGTTCCAGGAGAGTGACTCATTCCGCCTTCTTGCCTCAATGTTTTCCGTTGACATGAAGCGGAGAGATTATATTGAATCCATTACTAGGACTGCTCCTAGGAAAGTTGGTTTACTGTGTCGTTTTAGACAATTTTTCTCGCCAGAATCTATCTTACATATTTATAAGCCTACCATTCGCCCTTGGATATTGCTGTCACATATGGTCTGGCGCTTCTGCTATACATTTGCAGATCCTTAATAAAATCCAAAGAAGAATATGCCATATTATCGGTCCTAACCTGGCATCTCGGTTTCACTCACTTTCCCACCGTTGTGAGTCACCCTCCCTTTGCCTTTACTATAAATACTTTCATGGTAATTGTTATGATGATTTTTTTTCTATGACGCTTAGATTTTATGAATTTAAGCGTAGTACTATAGGCACAGTGGAGTAATGGATAGCGGCTCGGATTGCGGAATCGGATAGCAGAGTTCGAATTCCAGTCACATCCATTGCATTCACTTACGTGCTAATACCCTTCGTAAAGGTATGAATCCTCTTCTTATCCCCCCAGATATGGGTAAATAATAGGACAGACCGGGTTCTATAGCCTTGGATGGCAACTGGTCTACTACAGAAAGAAATGGCAACCTACTGCGAGAAAAAATTTCCTCGAAAGATATCTGATCGCCTAAGCATGTATCACGCATGGCACTATATCGGCGACAAAGTGTCTTCTTTTTCCAATTGAAATGGCTAGATGTAACCGCAAGTTCTATGTTAATATATTCTTCTATTGGACTTGGAACACTCTTCTGGCCTCTTGCTTTCCAATCAAATTTAATCTTCAAAAATTTAAATGTAATGTCACTCTGTCTTCTTAATGCCAGCCCTTTTATTGTTCTTTCTCTTTAATAATATTATATCTTTCTCATATTGTCTAACACCCAATAATTCCTTGCGTCTTAGTGGCTTTATTGCCTTGCTTAGGGTGAAATGATTAAAATTGAAAGTAAGTTAAATTCAAAGCTGTGCAAGAGAAATGTGGTTGTGATTCCATGTCGAAGTGTATTTTGAAAGACCAACAACACGTTATTGCTGTTGTCAAATAAGCTAATATTGAGGCTTGACTTGAATTGTTTTATATAACGAGCCTCTATGATCTTAGGCCGTCGCCCGATTTATTTAAAATGATGGTGTCATCAACAAGAATTTTTCTAACAGTGGCAGGCAGTTTCTGTGTAGGTGTCTAGATTATGACACTGAGATCCCTTAAGTTTATTTACACTATTTACATTGTTCAGACTGTTGTCCTCATCTTTATTGCCATCTTCACGACGTTTCGACCGTTGTAAACTCCGACCTTCTTCAGGTAATATTTTTTGGAATTTCGAACCGAACCCTCTATTTAGTTCACCGGGGTGGGGATTGTTCTAATTCCACGTGCCATGGTTATCTTGGTTTCAGTTAATTTTCCAAGTTTTTGTCCCCTCTTCTTTTGGATCAATCAACCAACGCTTTTATCCAATGAGCCATAGACAGATCACTTAAGTTGCTTGTTATTCTTCAGATGATAGTTGCCATTGTATATATACCCAAGGAAAAAGAGAATAAAATAATGAAACATTGAAACAACTTATAAATTAGACGAAAAATATCTTAATTAAAGAGTAATTAGTGGAGTAATGGATAGCGAATCTATTGCATTCACTTACGTTCCCTTGGGAAAAGTATGAATCCTCTTCTTCTCCCCCCAGCTATGGGTAAATAGCAGAACAGACCGAGTACTATAGCCTTGGATGGCAACTGGATGGCAACTGGTCTACCGCAGAAAGAAATGACAACCTACAGCGGGAAAAATCTGCCTCGTCAGTCATGTATCGAAAGATACATGTATCGAAAGATACATGATCGCCTAAGCGTGTATCACGCATGGCATATAACTGAGGTGTTTTAATTATATATATAATATGTTTGAAATGGTAACCTACTCCAGGAAAACTCTGCCTAGTTAAAAAAAAAAATCTGCCTCGTTATGTGCCATACACGCCTAGGCGATCATGTATCGAAAGATACATGATCGCCTATGCGTGTATCACGCATGGCACATAGTTGACTGAGCAGAAGGAATGGAAAAATCAAAAAAGGAATAAAGAAAGAAAGAAGGTATGAAGAAAGAAAAAGAGAAAATGATATAGAAAATTGAAAGAATAGCAAATAAATTAATAAACTTAAAACAATGAAACATTGCAAAATTATCTAACACCTGCGACATAATTCACAAAATCCTGAAAAATACATGTTTATGACAATAAACAATAAAATCCTGAATAATACATCGGTTTTAATCTTGTACTGAGCAAATTAATTGTTATAGTACATTTGTCATTTTTAATTTAGATTTGATAGCCGTGTTGTTATTTTTAATTATGAGGTTGGTAGATTTTAATTTTCAATTGCTTAATTTTTACACGTTTGCTGGGGTGAATGATGCGTCGCATGGCGAATGCATTCCTTTTATAATTGTGTTCATCCAATTGCAATAAAAGATATCAATATTTTAATGCACTGCATTTTTTTACCGTTGGCATGAGTAGGGATAATTATATTTAATTATCAACAATGTCACTGGGGAAATTAGTGTAAACCAATGTTTGTCTTATATGTTTGAGCTCACTAAAGATATTATCGGAGAAGTGGAGATTAGGGGTACACTATTTATCTACATTGATTATATGATGTCAACTATCAGTAGAAAGATGACAAACCACTTAAGTGATCCCAGTGCCGTAAAAAATGCATCTAGACACCTCCAAAAATGCCTGCCCCATTAGAAAAAAAATCTTGTTGATAACATCACCATTTTAAATAAACAATGAAACCCTTAAGAATGCTTAATGAATTGTCCGAATGCACTTGAGCACTCATCCCAAACATTTTCTGCAATTTCTAAGCGCCCCACCCACTAGGAAAACTCTAAGAACGTGAGAAAAACTTTCTAAAATGTCCATTGTCTGTCATATTCGTGAATTACACACACACACACACACACACACACACACACACACACACACACACACACACACACACACACACACACATATATATATATATATATGAAGAAATATAGTTTTAAGGTGTGGTATATTTATGGGATAAAGTGCTCAATATCAGAGATAGAGCGCGTGTAAATATAAAAGTGAACATAAGTGTTGATTTCTATGTTCACTTTTATATATATATATATATATATATACGTATACAAGCGGACACTGAGGTCAACACCAAGCAGCGACAGTCTGTTCCATGCTTGAACGCAATCTTTATGACATGTAGATTGCATCATGCATGAAAGAAACTGTCGCCGTTTGGTGTTGACTTCAGTGTCCACTTCTATATTTTCCATGTACTCTATTCCTAATATTTTTATCATATATATGTATATCTATATATATATGTGTGTGCGTGTGTGTGTGTGTGTGATATATATATGTGTGTGTGTGTGTGTGTGTATATTGTGATACAATTATACACAATATATATTTATTGCTTCAAACGTTATTGACTTCGTATAGACTCCCAACTTTTATTTAGTAAACAGTGTGTGTTGTGTATATTAGGTTGTGATTTCGAGAAATAATAGTAAAAAAGCGCCCCCTCCCTTTGTAGGGGTTAAACCACCATTTGATCCAGTACGCTTTACCGCTTGGCCACGAAGCACATCACAACAAGCAGGGTTCTGTTTTCATTTTTTAAGAAAAGCATATCTCCTTCATGCATATTATTTTCTCGAAATTTTCATATCCGCCCAGCTTCGTATCCGAAACTTAGACAAAGCGACCCCCAAAGAGCCAATGGATTCATTTTTGAACCCCCCCCTACACATATATGCGTATGTGTGTTTTTGTGTGTGTGTGGAGAGAGATATATACAGAGTACACAAAATTGGGCCATATCACGTTGAAACACCGGTTCTCGTCCGATCACCGATGTTAAGCAATGTTGAGCCTGCTCAGTACCTAGTTTGGTGTTGTAAGCTTGGAGTGGATGGTATAATGGATAATGGCTCTGGATTGGAAATCGGAGAGCCGAGTTCCAATTCCGGTCGGGTTTGTTACATTCACTTACGTGCAAATACCTTTGGGAAAGGTATGAATTCAGCACTTCCACACAGCTATGGATTAAATAGTAGAACGTTTATCAGCAAATCATTATTATCAGCAACAAGAAAATTCTTACAGTCCAAAAAAATATTTTCTGGCTTTGAATAACTCACAAATGGTTGATAAATCGTAAAGAACAAATCAATCGATCACAAAATTAGAAGGTAAAAATGCAAACGTAAAAGCGGACAAAAATTATAAAAATGAAGATCAACAGGTACAGAAAGAAAGAAAGAAAGAAAGAAAGAATAAAAGAAGGAAGAAAGGAAGAAAAAAGAAAAAAGAAAGGAAGAAAAAAGAAATAAAGAAATAATGAACAAAGGAAGGAAAGAAACAAAAAAGAAGGATAGAAAAAAGAAAGATGGCAAGAGAGAAAGAAAGAACGAAAGAAAAAAGAAAAAAGAAAGAAAGAAAAAAGAAAGAAAAGAAAAAAGAAAGAACAATGGAGGATTGTCATACAAGAAGTTGTTTATAACACTCCAGCTTATTATTATAATAATAATTAGTGTAGTTTTGTTGCTTGTCGTTCGCATTGTTCCATGTCGTTTTTTGTGTATCAGACTAGATTGAAAAAAAAAAGTTATATTCTTGACTTGGTAACGAAGCACCTTACGGCTGTCGATTGGTTGGGTTGTAGCATTGAAGCAGTTTGTGACAAAACAGAGCTGAAGAGGCGGAGAAAAAGAAAAGAAGCCAGAAGAATCGGTTAGAAAGATGATAAAAAGAAGGAGGTATAGAATGTAAAGATCAAGGAGAAGGCGGATGAAGATCAAAAAAGGCGGGTCGGGGTAGCCATATTAGCTGCGGCGTCGTCATTGTTGACTGCAGGAGGCGGCAGTAATCTTTTCCATCCCGGGGAAATCAAGCGACAACACCGTTTAAATGCACTCTATTCTGCGGCGGACCAATCGATAACCTAGAATATGAAAGTCGGTTTTGAACTAATTTCTTAGTCGGTTCACTTGAGATTTATTCGCGCACGTTGTTGCCACATAAAATAATACAATAAAAAGACACATGTTGGAGAGGAAAAAAATGCGTGGTGGTGGGGAGGCTTGTTTCCCACTCGGGCCGAGGAACACGCGCGAATAACCAGATATACCTCTTTCTTTCCCAACATCTAAGGACCGGCTAAGAATCGAGTTGGCCGTGGGAGGAAATAATCTTTGTATTTAAGAATAATTATCCAAATATAAAAAACTAATTATTTACATTGAATACATTCAAAAGAAGAAGATAGAATGTCTATAGATTCTTTTGGTGGATGTCAACATAACCCAAATCTTAAATTTGTATGCTTGATCACTTCAACTAAACAAAATGGTAGTCTTAATCGTATCATTTTCATTTTTACCTTCACTCATTTAAAGCGTCTTGCTTATCGACCACGACCGCCATATTTTAAGATGGTATCTACGCTTATAACAATTCACTGGTAATTAAATTTAATTCCCTGGGAATTGTTATGATGAGCAACATTCCTTAGTTTCATCAGTTCTAAACTTCACGACTAAGACCCGCCATGTTACGCACATTTTAGCGAACCACCCTCAGTTCCTCCGTATTCCATTGGTGAGATGTAAGTTCCACTCGAGCAGCTTCTTCCCACGAACCACTGTCTTGTGGAACCGACTCCCAAGAGGATGCTTCCCCGATCACTAAAATATTAACCTGTTCAAGTCTAGAGTTAACTGTTATCTTCCCCACATATCCATAAAAACTGTAGCTCTGACTCTGTAACCCTCTAACTCGATTGGCTCTCGGGCCTTGTACATCATTGTAAAAAAAATGGACGACGGAAAACATGACACCGAAATACGGAGGTGCATTGAAATAGCGGAAAATGCCTTTCAAAAGCTAAACAAAATATTATGAAACAGGAAAATTTTCCTTAGAAACAATGAAAAGAGTGCTAAGCTGCTATGTAATATACATCCACCTCTGTATTAATGAATGCGATTCTTTTTCCATAGATGAAGAGTAGATTTTAGATGTGGTTCTACAGAAGGATGCTGGGAATACCATAGGCAGATCACGTAAACAATGATGAAGTTTTAAGGAAAATGGAAGCAAAAACATTTCACTTAGAACCTAAAAAGAGACAGTTGAAACTTTCTGGACAAATAAAAAGGAAATTAAGTTTACAGAATTTGATACACACAGAGCCTATTGAAGGTCAAGGGAAACATCGAGTAACCTACCCACCTAGCTTGTATAAGTGGGTGACAGAACACTTCTTAGAGGAATACTAAGAGAACAGATATTTCGTAGGGCTATAGAGTGTAGGAACACTATTTACAAAGATGTCCTCATCTTTGTTGGCATATTTATCACAACGTTTCGGCCGATGTACAGTGGTTGGAATGTCGAACTGAACCCCTTTATTTCGCTCCATGTGCCATTGTCTAATAACGTCAGTTATCAGTTATCTCCTGTTAATTCCCCACTCCAAGTTCTCCACTCCACTGCCTTAACCAGGTATTGAACTCGCAACTTTTTGGGTCCTGTCACTGGATCTAACCAACGCCTTTATATCCTTGAGGACATCTGGGTATGAATTTCTGCGACTTATAAACTTAATGTCTTCAGTAATCATTTTTTACCAGTGCTCATATTGCAAATTTTGCTGTTATCATTGCATGTTTTTTTACCAGAGCTCAGTTCGACATTCCAAACACCTGAAGAAGGCCGGAGCGTACATCGGCTGAAACGTTGTGATAAATATGCCCACAAAGATGAGGACAATAGTCCGAATAATGTAAATAGTGTACATAAGACCTCATCTCAGAAATATAGACAGATACAGAGAGTAGGAAGTTGTGGAGAGTCATGATTTCTGCCCATGAAGTAACATAGTGAGACGGGCGAAATAGTACGGCGCGCCGTATTTGGCCGGCGAGTTAAGTCTTGCGGTAATCCGAGGTCTTCTTTAGGATCCCTCCATGAATATTTATTCAGTATGTTTTGTTTGGTATATATTAAAAATAATGTAAGATTAGGTTGCGCCAATATCTCTGACGAGGAAATCAGCATAAGAGTCCATATATTTAACTGATCTCAGACACCAACCACATGCGGTTAGTATGCAAGGCCAAATGGAAGAATTATGTGTAGGAAGATTGCGTTGAGCCAATCAGTTAAGTGTTGAGAGTTTGTTTGCCTTGAAAATCTGTATTAATTTTTGGAGCTTTTACCATCGACAAGTACCACAGCTATGAAGAATGGAAATGCGGTTATCTTCTTCTTCTATGTTCAGTGTCACTTGAGGGTGATGGCGATCATAGTTCTCCATAACGTCCAGTCATTTGTAGATCTTAGTAAGGTCTGTTTTTTTTCCCCGCTGTCTCGCCTAATCCCTGTTCTGTCAACTATCAGACCGGAACGGAAATTCTGTTCGATTTTTACGGTGAAAATGTTAAACAAAATTTATTAAAGTATTGCCTCTTTATATTGCTTAATAATGCTAGTAATTGATATCTTTTTCTTTTAAATTATAAGAATATTATTCATAATATCATTCGGAACTTGTCTCTTTGTTCGTCCCAACTAAAAAAATGCATTAGAAATGTTGTACTCATTATGTTTCATAAAGGTGTCAACGCAAGTTAAGCGGCAAAGTGAACCCAGCCCGCTTATGGAGTTGATTGAGTGACAGGGCTAAATGCAAAGGATTTGGGAGCTACCATAGTTAGGGAACTCAATGAAAAATTTAATCATACGAGAGTCCTACGTGAATCGAAAAGGATTGGAAAGGTTTCGGTGATTGAAAAATGGGCCTCGCATGACCTGTGTCCAGAGAATCGTCAACAACGTGTTGATTGTTGAGTCATTGCTTACCTCTGAGTTTGCCAATACTCTGCTTGTTGATTTATCTGCCTTCGGGCGGAGAGAAACTCAAACGAGGTTATGCCTGCGGGTTGAGTCTCGTCTGGGAAGTTAGACAGCCACCCGGCCCCGTGTATGCGGGGTCTACGGGGAATTTTTACCCGAGTGTCACGGAAAGCCCCGCGTTAAAAACCGGCCTTGTGTCACATCCCGCCTTGTGGGGAGGACTTGGGCAAATACCGAGTCATTGCTTACACGACAATTTCAAGTGTCCTTTATTGGACAGGCTTGTTACTGGCGATGAGAAACGGATACTTTATCATAATGTGAAGCGCCGTCGTCAGAGGATCAGTCGAAGGAACAGATCTGCTCAGCAACTGAGAGAGAACTTCATCCAAAGAAGATCATGTTGAGTGTATGTAGGGGACGGTATTCAATCAATAATCCATTATGAACTGTCAGACAATTATCAAACAATCAACACTGGTCTCTACTACCAACAACTTCGTCGTTTGAAAGCTGCTTTGGACAGAAAACGTCCATCGTTAGTCAACAGAAAGGGAGTAATCTTTCACCACGATAATGCTCGTCATCACATTGCACTAATGACTTGACATCTTTTAAAGGAGTTTGCATATTATACTGACATTCTTCTTTCTGATTATCACAAGTTTAGGGGTTTGTAGAACCATTTGGATGGCCTAAAGTTGACAGCAAGAAGTTCTCTTATTTTACATAACAACTTAAAGGATTTTACAAAATGGCATCTATAAACATGCTGGCAGATGGAATGAGGCTCTAGAAAGCTATGGAGGTTATACTAATGATTAAATACTTCTATCAGCATTAGTATTGTATCTAGGTAGGTTATGTGTGGCTGGCCTCTGTCCCTATTGCTTTCAAATAGCAAATCCTCCAATCCCTATCTGATTGCACATGTTCGCGCGCTTTTTAATGATGACCCTATTAATGGCTTAGTTCATTCCTAAACGTGGTGGGAAGACTGTGTAGAGCTAGCCTTCCAAGTAGGGACAGCTTACTTGTGAAATCTTCGATTTTAACTGGTGGGAAATGTACAAGGGACTTAGTGGTTCTCAATCTTTTTTTTTTTTTTAACCATGGACCACTTTTACTCTTCATTTTTTGGGAGTATACCCCCATTCGATGAAAAAAAGAGCTTATTTTACTTTTTACTAGTAGATAAGTTTAGGAATTGTATTATAGAAATAGTAAATGTATATGCTTTATTTTGAAATAAAACTAATGAGTTTGTATTTAACAACTAAATTCTATGGAATATTTATGTATACTAGTAAAATAATTTATAATAAACCATTTGAAAGTATGAGTAAGTTTAAAAAAGTGAACATTTATTTAATGAATTCCTTGTGGTTGGTGCTGCTGAAGAGGTTAATCTTTCCTTTATATATAATCTTTATATAATTTATATATTAAAATTAATTTTATTATTAACATTATATTTTTATATTAATTAATTTATATTAATATATTAATATTTTATATTATTTTATTGATATTTAGAATTAATATTATTATTTATTATTAATATATTAAATTAATTTATATAATAAATTATGATCTTTATATAATTTTTTACATATATATATATATATATATATATATATATATATATATATATATATATATAACCCTTCCTTTATATATCCTTCTCAGTTTTATTCAACTTTTACAATCAAAACATCCGGTAGAGTAAAAGGGACGCTATCTTTACATCGCTTGATCTTGTTTTCTGCTAGTTTTAATGTTGTTCTATTTTGAGTATTTTAATATGGCGTAGATTACTGTCAAAATTCCAATTCTCAGTTGTAACAACCATTCCGAAGTGAAATTGCTCTATCGACCAGTAAAATATTACCGTAGGCACCTAATTGGCTTTTTTTTTGTGTGAATCCCAAGTAATTTCACATTACCCCCTCACCGGGTCCATATGAACTCCGGTTGAGAAACATTGGTTTAACACAACTAATATGAATTGTAATATGTTCTGCATAGTCTGGCACAAGGTCATTGTAGTGGAGCACCTAAAGAGATCATAACTAAATAACTAATTGTTGTATAAGATAAACTTGCTAATCAGCGTGCTATCAAGTTTAATGTTAAATTCCTTTCGTATGAGATCAAAAGGAAGCATTGATCAAAATTCTATCATCAGCGGAATCCAAACCTGTACGTATAAATAATTAACAATCAAGAAAAACTTTGACCTATAGCATAATTTTCTTGATATTATTATTTTCACGTCGTATTCATTGTTATTGGTGGTGTTACTGAAGTGGTTGTTTTTGTTCGATACCAACCATCCACTAACACCCATTTTCGGGTCTCGGTCAACCATTCCATTAAGAAGCTGAGCTGAGCATGCGCAATGGCTTCGTTGGTTCCTGTGCTGTTTGCTTTCTGTGCTCTGTGAACCTGAGCAGATGTACCCCGGCACACGCCTGGGCAACGGGAGGGCAAAAGAAGAAAGAAAACTGAATGGAGGTGGCGTAGATCAGGATTTCAGATGGGAAGTGTTGTGGTCGGGGTTCTCACTGTCGAAATTAGGCATAAAAAGATCATAAAGTTTATTATTAAGAGATAATACATGAACACTCCTTATCGAATAAAACCCTTTGGTTTTTTTTTATTCTTTCTTTTGTTACAGAAATCTTCTTTTTTTTATCTCTAGTTTCCAAATCGCTTGGTTTTCTGTTTTCTTTCATTATTTATGTTGTTATTTGTTTTTCATTTGTTGTCTATCTTTCTATTAGCTCTCATTTGTATAAGTATTTCAATTTTTTCTTAGTCTTTCTTTCTTTTTTCCTTTTTACTTGTTTCTTTATTTCTATTTGCCTCTGTTTAATTCGATTTGCCTCTTTCTTTCTGTTTCTTTCTTACTTTGTTTTTTCATTCTGCTTCTTTCTTTGTTTTTTCTTTCTGCTTCTTTCTTTCTTTCTTTCTTTTTTCCTTTCTTTCTTTCTTTTTCTTTCCGCTTCATTCTTTTTTGTTTTTTCTTTCTGCTTCTTTCTTTCTTTTTTCTTTCTGCTTCTTTCTTTCTTTGTTTTTCTTTCTGCTTCTTTCTTTCTTTCTTTTTTCCTTTCTTTCTTTCTTTCTTTTTCTTTCTGCTTCATTCTTTTTTGTTTTTTCTTTCTGCTTCTTTCTTTGTTTTTCTTTCTCCTTCTTTCTTTCTTTGTTTTTTCCTTTCTTTCTTTCTTTTTTTCTTTCTTTCTTTCTTTTTCTTTCTGCTTCATTCTTTTTTGTTTTTCTTTCTGCTTCTTTCTTTCTTTTTTCTTTCTGCTTCTTTCTTTTTTGTTTTTTCTTTCTGCTTCTTTCTTTCTTACTTTCTACTTGTGTTTATTTCGACTTGGTTCTTTCTTTCTCTCCACTTGTCTATTTATTTAGACTTGGCTCTTTCTTTCTTTCTTTCTTTCTTTCTTTCTTTCTTTCTTTCTTTCTTTCTACTTGTCTCTATTTATTTCGATTTATCTCTTTCTTTCTTTCTGCTTTTTGTCATACCGTACCTTGTCATAGTATAATAAACGCACATTTACAGAACAAGCCAAATATTATTCAATGGCTTTTTCATCGTAGGATTGTATCCAGATAGGCTAGATATGTGCCATTGCAAATATATTTGTCGCCTAATTCTTTGCCTTTAAATAGCTTAAATTCATTCTGTCGACTAAAAGCTTGTGAGTTCGTTTCTGGATGCGATCCCCGTAAAACGGTTTAAGCCAACAAATATCTATAGCTGTTTTGAATTCGTTATTATGCCTGAGATTACATACACTGATCGGCAGACAAACTGCTTCCTGGATTAAATCAAGGATACCCAGCCGGAGTTTCGCGGATTCCTACAGTTCCAGGAACAATCAAATTGCCACCAAATTAAAATAATATATTACCTAATTTATTAGGATTTCTGAAATATATATTTTGTATAGAAATTATTCATTTCTACACGAAATATATCTTTTAGAAATTCTAATAAATTAGTTAATATATTATTTTAATTTGGTGGCATATACGAACCAACTTAAATTATCTACATTTAATATTACACTATGGTGTCAAGTTAGGTAAAGAAGCTGGTAGTCGATGTTGTCTGGTTAAACACTAGACTACTATATAACACAAATTCGCATATAAGACACAGGAGATCATTTTGAGTCATTTTGGCGGGAAAGATGGGGTGGATCTTACATGTCATCAATTCCGGTTTGTTGCGTCACGGCGAAAATTTGTAAAAGCGCAAAGATTTCGCCAAACACTTTGATAGATAGATAGATAGATAGATAGATAGATAGATAGATAGATAGATATGGACTAACTGAGATAGATAGATACTGACAAAATATACTGAATAATATATCAAGCGTTCTACAATAGTAAATCCGTTTGACACAAGGCCACATTTATGGAGCATATGTGAAAATTAACTACCAACCATTACTCCATAAGCCCTCTACTAGTTTGACTTGATCGGCACAATATTCAACGCAGTCTAACCAAATAAATATTACTTCTAAATAAATAAGTTATCTACTTGTAATTCACTCATTTGGACAATTATTTAGGCGCAATATTTATAATAGTATGATCAATTTGCGAAAATATATAAAGTTGAAGCCTTGGTTAAATAGAACACAGCGTTGGCAACAAGCTTGCAAAAAATGTTGCCTTGAATAAATTATATCTACGCAATCTTCTATGGCAACAAGATATAAACACACATAAAGAATACATGTTTAATGTAACTAACAGATTATTTTTCGCCAGCGTCTTCGCCATTTTCTTGTCAGCATTCGCTACTGCATCAATTAACAGTGTATTGTTACATCAATAACATCATTCATCGTCCGTATTTGAATTATTTCCCTTTGATATTTGTTATGTCGTCTGCTTCTTCTTAACGACTAAATGAGCGAAGAGCTTACGTGAAGTGACATTTATCAGTGTAAAACAGTTTAATCAACGTCGCACCGGTAAAACTGGATGTCAAGTTAGCGAGTAAAGGAATTAATAAATAAATAATGCTTCATGATATACGTATAGAATTCAGATTTTGAAATATACGCTGTTTGACATCAAAATGGCGCACACCGGACGCGTAGATATATGACGACAGATAATCCCCCCCCCAGTCTATCAGGTTCTAATAAGATAGTTTCACCTGTCGATTGAATTCCATCTTTCTTTGCCACATGTACCGCAGTTCTTTATATTCGTCATGAAGACACTAAAGAAAAGGATTTTTAACGTTGGATAACGTTGTCAAAAGCATTCCTAGATAACTATATCAAGAACACATATCATCATCATCATCATCATCATCATCATCATCATCATCCCACCACCACCACCACCACCACCATCATCATCCATTATTAATCCACTGTAAGGACAAATGGTAATGGTAATATTACCCTTTTCCTTATAAGGAAGCATTCGGCATTCATTGATCGGGAATCCATTGTGACTTTCGGCTGAAATTTATAAAATCTTTTTCTTAAAATAACTTTTCAGGAAAATAGGTTTCTCAAGTCCAGTAGCTGTTATAGCACTTTCTACTATTGTTTGGGGGAGGGGGGGTCTTTCCCTACCTTTTCTTTGAAGTAGTGTGGAATGCCAATATGTTGACAATTTGGCATTATTTTCTCTTCGAGTAACATCCCTTTTAGTTGTTGTTATCGAAAGTACTCAAGTGATGCCGTTTCTGTTATTTGATACAGTTTTCGTGTGTGAGTGTGTAGCGCCAGTCCACAATGTTCGAACAAGTGTGGTCTTCGTTGAGACCCACAGGTTTCATTCGCTTCAAGCCACTTTTAAATCGATGGAAGCGCTTGTATACAGGCACAGTACAGTTCCCAACTCCTTCCATGTCAACTGTGACGACGCCATTCATCTATCATGTCTTGACAGCAAACCCTTCTATTTCATGTTATCGTTGAAATCCGGTATCAATAAATAACAAACGCCAGCAATGAATATATGAAAATAATGTATTAACCTAATAATACAAACTGGTAAAGCAGGTTAGTAGTTCCAGGAATACGGGTTAGTAGCAAAATATATATATACAGTCTTTGGTATTGAAGTATCGCTGTATGACTTCTTACTGAGTCTACGTGCTCGCTCACTGTGACTCCTACAACGCTGTTACCTCACCCCTCACTCTTCCGGTTACCTACAACCTTTTACTCTGTCACTCTGGACTCGACTCTTCGGTCTAGCTCTCGACTTACTCTCGTCTTTTCTCTCGTCTTTTTCTATCGGGTCTTCCCGTAGCAGTAGTATATGTATATACTGGGTGAGTCCATTTGTGTAAAAAGGGGTGGACCCCTCAACAAGGACTGTAAATGATTTTATCACAATTTTAAGTATTCTGTGCCTTTTTATGACCAGCAGTGGACTTTACGAGGTTAGCCTTCAGGGCGGACACCCATCTGATCAAAAGGGATTGAAATAATAAATAAGGCTTACGGTCATATCGCGTTGCAACACCGGGTCTTGACTGATCACAGAAGTTAAGCAACATCGTGCTTGGTCAGAACCTAGATGGGTAACCGCTTAGGAATATCAAATACTGTAATTTTGGATGTGTAGGTGGTGTAATGAATAAACGAAAAGGAAAACGGAGTGTCGAGTTCAAATTCCAATCGGGTTCGTTATATTCATTTACACGCAAATATTCTTGGGAAAGACATGAATCCGCCTCTTCTATCCCTCAGCTATGGATTAATTAGTAGGACTTGCATCAGTAAATCGTTATTATCTACAAAAATTCTTAAAATCTGAAAATATTTTCTGACTTTAAATAACCTGCTAAAGGTTGATAAGCCGTAAAAAACAGATTCAATCATTGATTTGAGGATTGTCCAGATACTGATTTTCATTGCGTCTCTTTGAAATATTTTGACTTGTATCATTGTCTTTGTTGCCTTGCATATTATATTTCGACAGATACGCTCTCTAGCCTTCCTATGAATGACAGCATTGTCCATATTCTATGAATGATTGGCACTAATATTCTCATCTTTATTCTTTATTATTTCGAGCAATGTCGAATAGACACCGGATGAAAATAAGAGTATAGGTGCAACACTCAAAACAATTGTGATAAGACTAATCGATCGTGTAGATTAATGGATAATAGTAAAAATATTTTAAGAAAAGCTCTCAAAAAGATGACCAAATACAAAGTTATATACTCATTGAGGCATGGAGTCGTATAAAAATCGCTTTTTTGGGCCAAAGACTAAGTGGAATTACCAGAAGACGTACTTGGCATTCAATAAGCGATGTTTTCGAAACGCAGAAAAGAAGCCAAGTCACTCTTCTTTTTTTATGAACATGGAAATACAAAGCAGAAGAAAGGACTGAGAAAAATGCTACAAAGATGTTTTTCGACACGAAAAAAACAAAAAAAACAAAAAACAAACAAACAGAAAAAAACAACGATTATCGCCAATGCTGAACCTCGCTAGCAGAAATAAAGCAGACGACAATTGATATTGAATTATGCGTCGGTCATAGACAGATGAATGAATAATTATTTTGGCATTCATAACAAAGACTTTTTGATTTATAAACAAACAATAGAGTGACGTACATTGGTACACATCTCTCCATTTAGATAGATAGATAGATAGATAGATAGATAGATAGATAGATAGATAGATAGATAGATATAAACGGACAGAAATAGATATCTAGCTAGCCAGATAGATAGATATGAACAGACTAAGATAGATAGATAGATAGATATAAACGGACAGAGGTAGATGCCTAGATAGATAAATATGAACAAAGATAGATAGATAGATAGATAGATAGATAGATAGATAGATAGATAGATAGATAGATAGAAACGGACATAGATGTCTAGCTAGCTATCTAGATAAATATGAACATAGATAGGTAGATAGATAGACAGATAGATAGATAGATAGATAGATAAGAATAATCATTTTCTCTACGAGACTAAATTTCTAATTATTGCCATTAGGTAGACACTCTAAGGGTTGAAACTAAATGCTGAGGAAAGAGACTTGCTGAGGGAAGAGAGTTGACGACGTGAGAGAGTTGATGATGGGGAGAGAAGTGCCGACGTGAGAGAGTTGATGGGGGAGGAGTGAGCTGACGAGGGAAAAGGGTTGACGGGGGATATAATTGTCGAGGGGAGAAAATTTACGAGGGGAGGGAATTGCTGGGGGGGTAGAGAGCTGACGAGGGAGAACAAAATGTGACAATGTCATTTCTTTACGCAAATCGTATCTTTAATTTAATTATAAAAACATGCTGTTTTTTGGCCTGAAATATGCGACATGAAATTGCATTTAGACATCATCATCATCATCATCATCATCCTCATTTTCACCGCCATCATCATCATCATCATCATCATCATCATCATCATCAGCATCATCATCATCAACATCTTCACCGCTATCATCATCATCATCAACATCACCGCCATCATCATCATCATCATCATCATCATCATCATCATCATCATCATCATCATCATCATCATCATCATCAAAATCTTCACTGCCATCATCATCATCATCATCATCATCAACATCTTCACCGCCATCATCATCATCATCATCTTCACCGCCATCATCTTCATCATCATAAACAGCAGCATCACCATCAACATCTTCAACATCATCAGTCCCTCGACTTTTTCATTTGCCGTGAAGACGTGAGGGTAGAAGAAACAGACAACCTCCTTTAGGCTGAATTGTTGGCAATGGCTCTCAGGAGTTCCGACATTGTCATGTCTGTCCAGTATTTGATGATGTCTGATATATTTTATAAACACTATATCTAGATACACAATTTAGATATAATGTTGATAAAGTATATAATAAAACATGGCCACAATCTAAGATAAATATCTCCCACCATTCCAAATATTATTGTCTGTACATTATTTATATTCTACCGTCTCTCTCCGGCAATCAGCCTCATTCCTGTCTAAGCGCTGTTATAATATACCTAAATCTTGAGGCAGTGCAAGATTTATGTAAATATTAAAAGGGTAAAGCTATTTAATGTGTGTGTGTTTGGATACCTGAGTCAGGATATAGGTATTTATAATATGTAGTCATCTTTTACTTAGAACACTAGGAGTATCCGGGTTTACGTTAACGCATGCGCACGACTCAATACGCCCAACCCTCTCCCAATAAAAACACAAGCAAAATAAAGACCGAACTCCTTGCACTAATTAAAAGGAAATACACTTCTTATAATCACACCACCCAAAGCATCGTCTTATTTTTGCCGACATCAACCACCTCGCTCTACAAACTCATCTCGTTTTTTCCCCCCTTTCTATCTTTCTGCTTCATCCCTCGCTTTTATTTTTCCTGTTCTGTTTTGTTTCCCCACCACTTCTTTTCACTAACGTCTTTTTGTTTCTGTCTTTTATTAAATAAGTTAGAAGTTGTAGGGGGGCGCTGCGCATTGCAAGGAACGCTTTCATCCCTTAATAAGGGGAGTCTCTGTCACCTGCCCTTTCACATAAGCGGACTTCTCTCCGTTCGAAGCCCGTCGAATAGAGAAAGGAGCAGAACTTCTTACCCAACCACTTCAGTTCTTTTTAGGTCTCGTCTATTGCTTTCCACACTGCAAACAATATTTCTCCGTTTTCTCTCTTTTTACTTTACAAACGCTTCTTTTTTACTTTTGTGTGTTTTAAACATCAACATCTTTTTTATTTTTTATTTTTCGTTTACTTTGTTAACTTCATTCACTATTGCTTTATCCATTAGTTTCTTTCGTTCTTGTATCCTTTTTTTTCTTTTCTCTTTATCTCATGTATTCGTTCATTCATTCATTTTTGTGCTTTTCTTTTAGTTTTTTTCTTTCAGTTTGTGTTGTTCCATTTACTCTTTCTTTCTTTCTTTCTTTCTTTTTCTATTGATCAATCGACACTTTCATTCTTTATTTCTTTTTCTAATGTTCCATCGACTTTCTTTCTTTCTTTCTTCATTTTCTATTGCTCAATCTATTACTTTCTTTCTTTCATTTTTCTATTGCTCAAGAGATCATTTCTTTCTTTCTTTCTTTCTTTCTTTCTTTCTTTCTTTCTTTCTTTCTTTCTTTCTTTCTTTCTTTGTCCTCCATTTCTCTCCCACACTTATTTCCCTTAAAATTTTTCTTGATACATAAAAAGTTATATATCGTTATCCTCCTCTCTCTCTCTCTCTCTCTCTCTCTCTCTCTCTATATATATATATATATATATATATATATATATATATATTGTTTTCTTTTTCTAAATATATAAAAAAGGTGAGACTGGATTTCATTGGGAACAAAGAAAAAATTATTGGATTGCTATGTAATATCCATCCTCATATGTCAGTGGATGCTGAATAATCTCCCGAAAAATGGACGCTACAGCAATGTGGTTCTACAGAAGGACACTGAGAATTCCATGAACGTAGGGAGCATGCAACGAGGAGGTCTTTAAAAATGTCAAGAAAAAGAGCACTTATGCTCAGAATCAGGAGGGGACAGCTAAAATTCCTTGAACACATAATGAGGAAGGAAGGCTTGGAAAACGTAATCCTCACAGGGCATATTGAGATAGGGGAAAGAAATTATCCACCTACCTGACCTACCTGGAAGGAGGTGGCATTTGCAAAAGTTGAAAAGCTGTCAGCGGCTATAAGGGATAGAATGTTTTGGAGAGCCACCATCGCCAATGTCATGAAAGGATGTGGCACGTATGAGAAGCAAAAGAAAACATCTTTGGTTATTGGTTAGAAGAAAGAAAGTCCGAATTGGTAGAACTAAGGAAAGTAGCGTCTTTGACATTGGCCATCTTAACAGCGATAGGCTAATGAAAAGAAGCAACGTTTCGCCCGCCATCATTGTATATATAGCTGGCCACTCGTATTCGGGGAAACCCGTCTACTAGGGCGGCTAGCCAATCCCTATTGCAGACACTTGCTCAGGCGCTTTTGTGTTTATTCAACACCCACAGAGCTCACCTGTGGTTTATACTGCAACTAAGCTGAGCAGGCCTTAGTTAAATTTTCTGGGAAAGAGCGTGTTATCTAGCGTGATCAACAATTTGAACAAGGCCAGCACGCTCAAGCCCTGAGCCACGATGACTTGTGACTTCGTGCTAGCACAGCTATTGACAGCCCCCAATCCGTCTATCCAATTTCACTTACAAGGCTTGGGTCAACCCGTGGTATGGTTTTCAGGCACTTTCCAAACTCTGGGATCGACGCTTCCAGTCCGATAACATCAGTAAATCTCCTTTATGACAAATCGACCATGATGAGATTCGAACCCGGGTCTCATGGTCAGAGTGCGAACGTTCCAACCAATGGGGGTCCATAACCATTATCCCATTCTTATTCACATCACCCGGACGAAACTTTTCTAGCCTCTTACTATTCTACTTCTATTACTGATGGCAGATGTATTTGGTAAGGTGAGCAAGTCCCACTCGGGTAGATTCTTCCCCAGTACTGTAACTGTTAAAACAGGCTCCCGAGAGGATGCTTCCACGTGCAGTACAATATTAGAATCTTCAACAATTAACAATTCGTAGCCTTTTTTATACCACCCGCACACCCAAGCTTACAGCATCTGGTATTCCTAAACGGTCACCCATCTAGGTATGACGTTGCTTAACTTCGGTGATCGTAGGAGAACTGGTATTTCAACGTGATATGGCCGTAAGTCTTAACGTCTTTAATTCTGGGGTCAACAAATTTCTACCCTACATATCATCATAATATGTACCCTTCATCTCCTTACGCCCTCCTAACAATCTTACTCAGTAATCCTCTACCTTGAGTGACCCATGAGCCTTGTATTAGGTGAACAAAAAAACAAAAAACAGAATCAAAACAGTAAAAAGAGTAACAACAAAGAAAGAAAAACATAAAAGACAGAAAGAAAGAAAGAAAGAAAGAAAGAAAGAAAGAAAAAGAAAGAAAAAGCAATAGAAAATAGTTAAAAGTGAGGCAGAAATTAAATAAAGAAAGGTCGAGAAACGAAGGAAAGAAGAATAATTTTGACTAAGAAATAAAAATTAATGAAAGAATTGATGAAAAAGAAAGCAAAGGAAGAAAGACAAAGGAAAAAGAGAACTGTCTGATAATAAACAAAGATGGCGGCAATAAATGAAAGCTAGAAAGAAAATTGAACACATTAGAAGTAGAAAAGACACCTCGACGTGGTCTAATGGTTAGCAAGCTTGTCTCGCTAGATCACTAATGACTGAAAAGTGAGTTCGATCCTCACCAGATGCCTCATACTTTCGGTCTCATGCCACATCTAAGATACGCTTAGAAAATAACGATTAGAAGAAGAAAAAAAGGTGAAAATACAGAACGAGGGAAAATCGAGAAAATTGGACCCATTAGAAGAAAATAAAAATTGAAAGAATTAAAACAAGTAGAAAAATCGAGAAGAGAAGAGTGGAGAAATTGTAAAGACTTGCAAACGTAAAAATCCGGAGAGAAGCGAAGAAAAGAAGAAAAAGGGGTAAAATTTTCAGAGGAGAAAAAGTAATAAAGAAATTATTTTTAAAGGATGAAAAGAAAGAAATCTGAAAAATTAACAAAAAGAAAGACAGAGAGAGAGAGAGAGAGACAGACAGAGAAAGAGAGAAAGAGAGGCTGAAGATAGAAAGAAAACAATTGAAAGAAAAACTAAGAGAAAAAAATCTGTTTATCTGATTCCTCTTCCTAGGAATGAAGCAGAGAGGTTAAAAAAGAAAAAAAAATCGATAGAGAACAATAGAATAAAAAAGAAATGGGAAAAAGAGCAAAGAGAGTAAACTAAAGAAAGACAAAGAAGGGAAAAGAAAGAAAAACAATGAGAAAAAATACAAAATATAAAAGCAAACCAGAGAAGCAATCATTGTACGTCTGAAATAAATTGCTAGCAAAGATGGCGAATGAAGTTGTAGCAACATATAACGGTAATATTAATTGCATTAGTTCTGTGTAGGAGAGTGTAGAAGGCGGAGTAGAGGTATAATGGCGATGAAAGAAATAGTTGTGGGAGCAAGTTAACTACATACAATTATTAGCATCGAGTTTGGCAAAAGGGGTCATTCTTTGTTGGTTTGTTTTTACGCACTCAAGAAATATATTAAAACGGTCATTACTAGCAACGCAAGATCGAAATCTTTGTTATCTCCCTTTTATTCACCTCTTTCTTTCATTTTGTTTTTCGTTTCTTGCCTCGAGGAAAGAATCGTTAAACTAAACATGAAAAGAAGATCAATATTGTAAATTGGTCAGTTGATATCATTCCACCAACCCTAACATTCCCCTGTCAACATTTTTTCAAACCCGGCATACACCAGACTCCGACCGCCATCCCACGTCTCGTATTCAACTTCCACATTTTTAAAAAAATATTATCACCACCCGTAATTTCTTCTTTTGCGTTTAAAGAAAAGCAGAAATAAAACTCTTTTAAATTGTCTGATTACTTTTCTTATAGTCTGTCGGGCGCCTCTGTTTCTTACTTAGGCAATTATCTATAAACATTCGAGTAAAGATGATCTAATGTTGGTCAGGACAAGACTTGGTCATCAACCTAGCAGATTAGCCGAGATTTTGATACCAAAGTTTACGATAAAAGTTACGTGTTGCCCTACACTTAGTTGATAGCTTCATTGAGTCAATGAGAAAAGCTAGGCGTTAAGATTGTATAATATAATATTCCGTCCAAAATGAGTTAAATGAAAAATAATACTTTCGTATATGAGAAAAATGTTAGATGTATTTGTGTTTCTGTCTATATTTCTGAGATGAGGTATTATGTATACTATTTACATTATGCGGACTATTGTCCTCATCTTTGTCGCCATATTTATTACAACGTTTCGGCCCTTCAGTATCTGTCTATATTTCTGAGATGAGGTATTATATACCCTATTTACATTATTCGGACTATTGTCCTCATCTTTGTTGCCATATTTATTACAACGTTTCGGCCGTTGTACGCTCCGGCCTTCTTCTACGCTCACTGGGGTAGACTGTTCTAGTTCCACGTGTCATATCTAATGGATGCCAGTTATCAGTTATTTTGTGTTAATTCCCCTTAAAGAGTGTGAGTTCAATATCTGGTTAAGGCGGTGGAGAACTCGGAGAGGAGAATTAACAGGAGATAACTTATAACTGACATCCATTAGACATGGCACGTAGAACTAGAACAGTCTTAGTGGATAGCCATATTTGAGTAGACACGCCATTTTTATTTTTAGACAGCATATTTATTATCGTTTACTTGTCTGAATATTCGAGAAATTTTATTAAAGAAAAATATGCGCCCTCCGGCAGGACTCGAATTTGCGTCCACCTTGGTAGGAGAAACTGTTGTTAGATGCGATGTACTTATACCAACTCAGCCACGAAGGACATTACCGATCAAGCAAGGCTGAATAGTGCCTTCAAGCGAAATCCTTCTAGTCATAGACTCTCGAAACAGTCATATTTTCTCAGTTTTATATCCAAACGTAAACGAAGCAATGTCTAAAGCAGTAATGATTTTTTCTTATTTAATAATCCGATAGATTTTGTCATTTAAATGTTATTTTTAGAGGATACCCATATTTGAGTTAGTAGCCTCGAAGGACATTAACGATCAAGCAAGGCGTGTAGACGATCCGTTTTTATTTTAAATCAATATATTTATTATTGTTTATCGGCCTGAATATTCAAGTAATCTTCTTAAAGATAAAATATGCGCCTTCCCATCCATACACAACTATTTTCCCGACCACCAAAATAACCGCTTATTTTCAATGTCGTCACAATAATAGCGTCGCGAATTGCTGTAACTGAAAAATTTTGTACTGGCCACATAATACCAGAAAACCTTTTTTCACTTAATACTATATAGAGAAGATATAAAAATCTTTTTCGTATTTTTTAAAAAATTGTGAATCCCTAATTTAGATGATGAATGCACATTCTAATACCTTTTTGAAATTTATTATCCATTTTGTTAATGTAACATTACACGGCAGTGTATTTGCAACATTGCAAGGTAAAGTTTTAGGCACGTTTTGAGGAGTCTACAAAAAAAAAAGAAGTTTTTGCAATCTCTATCTTGAGACGTTGGAGATGTGATTCTACAGAAGGATGCTGAGGCTATCATGGACCGAGCGTGTGAGCAAAGATGAGGTCTTAGAGAGGATACAAACAAGTAGGAGGCTTATGCTTGAGATCAGGAAGAGGCAGCTGAAGTTTCTGGGACACATAATGAGGAAGAAGGGCCTGGAGAATCTGATACACACGGGTCGAATAGAGGGAAAGAGAGACAAGGGAAAACAACGCATGACATACCTAGCGGGCTTAAGCAAGTGGATATCAGAACGTGGTCTGGGGGGGGAGGAAGCAGAGGGAAGGAGCTGCAAGGGATAGAGGGAAGTGGAGAGTCATGATCGCCTACGTCCTGAAAGGACACGGCACATAGAAAGAAAGAATGTAACGTTGTCATTTTGTTAGCTGGATAGTTGTAATATTTGAGTTATTTCCAACATTTTTTTTAGAAGTTTACGCTCCGCTAAGATTGACAGCTTCGTCTTCCTACAAAGTCCCGCTTTATTTGCAACCTTATGTTTCACTTGAATGACTTTTCGAAAAAAAAAAAAAGACAAAAAAAAAAGACTTCTAAATGTTATGCTATGAATATTTGAACGATTGAAATCGGCAACCTAGGTTCTTTGGGAAAAAATATATTAGTTTTTATTATGTAATATTTATCAATTATTGATGAAAAGCCATCCTGATACTGTGGTGCCTTGACGTAGTAGGACAGCTTGCGCGCTTCAACGACTCCCCCCCCCACCACCACCACGATCTATGTGGGCGGAGGACGCTTTGGCCCTTAGCAGGTTCAACCAAGCTCAACAGGTTTGCGGGGTAGGAGCCAGACGAAAGACACATCCTGGTCCCCCAGGTTGGAGGCTGTGCAGTAGTATAACAACCTGCACAATTAAAAACTAGCTTGTTATAGAAACTTCAACGATATCTTCAAACAACAAGATGGCCGAGGAAACGTCCTCCAAAGTGGAGAGTACGACGTGTGTTGAGAAGGTGAAGGCAGCTGGCACGACATGGGATCTCTCGAAACCGCGTCCGTTGGGGAGGTGTTGTTGCGTCCCTATGTTCCCCAAGGAATCAAGAGGCATAAGAAAGAAGATTCGTGAAAAGAGGAGTATATAATGCTGAACCAACGTGCAACGCTATCATTTCTATTCCATGTTGCGAGCACGTAGGTTAGAGGTTGCCTTATTTTGGTGGTGGTGGTGGGGGGGGCATATGGCAACGTTAATGTAAGGTTGCAATCGACTATTTCCCTGGCTTTAAACTGACCGCCGTCCTGGGTAAGACGATAAACTACATCCGACAGCAAGTTCATTCATTATAAAGTTTTGAGGAGCGTGGATCCGCTTCTTAATTGCTGGTCTTTCCAGGTTGACCCGGGGTGGTTGCACCTATCAGAATCCCAACTATGGGCAAATAGTTAAACCCACAAACTGGGATAAAAACTTATCAACCCTTTGCAGGTTATTTAAAGCCAGAAAAAAAATTTAGATTGTAAGAATCTTTTTTTGGAGATAATAATGGTTTGGTTATACAAGTCTTACTAATTAACCCCTAACTTAGGGGAGGAAGGATAAGTGGATTCATACCTTGCACATAAATGAATATAACGTACCCAAATGGAATTGAAACTCGACCCACCGACTAACGATTCCGAGCCATTATCCATTTCACCACCCGAACATTCAAGATTGTAACACCTAAACCAACGTGCAACGCTATCATTTCTATTCCATGTTGTGGGCACGAAAGTTAGAGATTGCTGTATTTAGGTTGGGGAGACATATGGCAACGTTACTGTAACGTTGCAATCGACTATTTCCCTGGCCCTAAACTGACCGTCGTCATGGGTAAGACGATAAACTAAATCCGACAGCAAGGCCTTTCATCATAAGGTTTTGAGGAGCATGGAACCACCTCTTAATTGCTGGTGCTCCCAGGTCAACTCTGACCCGGGGTGATAGCACTTAGTGAACTTAGGCAGGTGACAATGGTGCCTTCCTCTAGCTAATGTCATACCAGTTTGTTTTTTTAAAATAACAACAAGTGTGTAGATGTGTGTACGAGTGGATTGAGAAATTTAAAAGTGACCGGACAAGCGTGACGCACAGAGAAGGATCAGGACGCCATTCAACCTCTATCACTGACGAGAAGTTTCAGCAAGTTCTAGAAATGGCGGTAATGGAAAATCGGCAAGTATCCAAAAATAATGTTTACGATGATAAAAATCTGTTAGAGTGATAAATAAAAATCCATTATCTTAAAAAATTACTTTACGTATGGTTACGAAACCGAGCAGATGTGAAAATTTTGAGGAATTTAATACGAGAAGGATTTCGCTTAAAGGCATGTTTCAGACTTTGCTTACTCTGTGAGGCTGCTCCGTGGCCGAGTTGGTTAAGGCACGTCGGATCTAAGGATAGTTTTCCTCTGCCCAGAGGGACGCAATTTCATAATTTTCCTTATTAACAAAAAAAAAAAAAAAAAAAAAATGGCGCGGTCAAGTTCAAACTTCGATCCCGTGACCATATATTGTACCAACTGCAAGCACGCATGCGCAAAAGTCAGT